TTTCTCGTAATAGCGCGCTTTTATAACCGAAGCGTAATGAAACTCGTTTAAATATCACAAAAGTGGTTGGATTACGGCAGCCGAGCACTTTATACTGCTTAATTACAGCCCTCAACAGAAATAATTGGGAACTTGGGGATTATAGCCGGACTTTACAGAATTAAAGATTTCGTCGAAATGACGAATTGAATCCGATTGGCTCGCTTCAAGTTACCGATTACAATTGCCATTTGTCAAGTGATTGGCGACTTCTTTCGTTCTAATTAATGAATTGTTTCTTTATTCTTTTTTAAAGGAACTTTGTATTTGGTGAAAATTTGTGATTATACTTCGCTGCTGTTAGTATTGAGTGCTTCATTATTTCCTCGTTTAATGGGCTTTTAAGGCGGTATAGATGTTGATAGGGTTATTCCCATATATTCCTTGTACTTATCTTATTTCCATTTATAAACTAATTTATATATTTTGTTGTTTTTTTTTTTGTAACTATGTACATTGTACGTACATAGGTCTTATTCCCAATTGCAAAATTATAAACTCAATCAAGTACTTTCTTAATTGTGTTGGCTTGCAAATGTTTGTGTGATTATATTTTTTTATTTTTCTTAATCTCCGTGTACAATGAAAACAAACTTCATATTGATATATCTGAACTAAATATCGGGACTTGACCACCGCTATAAATCGTCAGTCTATAAGTAAATATTGCAAAGTTCTAAAACAACAATTGATCGAGTTGTCAAAATAGCCAGAGTTTAGCTAGATTTAGTTCGATAGTGAGCTGGAACAATAGATTGACTGGAAATCCAGTAAGCTGAGTGAATCCATCGGGCGTACGACACGACAGGACATCATTTTGTATTGTTCGTTAACTGAATGGGAACAAATGAGTTCATGATTTAGCATGCGATGTGTATCACATCTGAATATCGGATCGCGCCGAGCTTCGTTTGCGTTATGAATCAATAACTCTGTTAAGCTGTGTTTTCATTAGGGATTATTCAGCATTACGAACGTCGACGGTGCGAAATCGGTTGCCGTTTTATAGCGACTCATTAGTCTGTTTATATTCAGATAATCTTACCCTAATCATTTTCTGTTAATATAATGTCATCTCTTTAAACCCAAGCTGCTCGCTTTTCAAAGAATTTATTTGATGTTTTCAGTATAACTTTGACTTTGAAATAAACATAATATTTAATACACGAACAGCTTTCTGTCTCTAATATTAAACGCTCGCCTTTCTCATTCTCATCAGGCGCAAACAAGCCTTCTCAGTGGTATTTAATTGCGTATATTATTGCGTATCACCCCGTACAGCGTTTCAGCACGTTCGGATCTAATTGCATCGTTAAAGATAAAACTAGGACGCAATAACGCACCTAATCTCAATAATGCGTTCTCTTCCGTAAAGTATTACTGCATACGTTGAAACAGTCAGTCCTGATTGGGATTGGCACCGAATCAAAACAGAAAAATATTTCAAAGTTGGATGGAAATCTATAACGTTTTAATAACGGAACACACGTTTGCAAAAGTTAAACTATTACCCGCTCCGATGTTGTTGGCACCTCTAGTTGCATCGTTTCGACCAGTTACACCAAAACTTTGGTACGTAAAAATATTGAATGACGATGTTACGACTAGTTCTATAGTATAACTACGCATCCACCTAACAGCGTTTTCCAGTACAGGCACACATGTTTCCTTCTACACGTCAATAATTGATATGAACGACATAAAACAGTTACCAAGTTTTCACTTAGGTACCTTCCTTACCGCCTTTTGTTTTATAAACTTTGCGTGTAGGAAATGAGTTTCATGCTCAATAAATCTGTTATGCTTATGTAGTCCTTAACCAACCGGATATAAATATCAATTTTGCATGAGCTATGTGACCATAATGTGCATGTACTTAAAGTAGCTGCATTGCATTGACTGCTAATAGTTTATTTGTTTTGTTTAATGATTCTCTCTCTGGTTTATACAATTTAGATGTTTTTAGTTTTGTATTTACAATTTTCTTAATACTCACTGAGCCAGTTCTTTACTTTACGTAAAATAGAGGTTATTTCCTGGGGCAGTAAATGGAAGATGTAAATATAATAAGATTTTTAATCTCATTCTGCGTTAAAGTTGGGGACAGTAAATTTTTTTCTCGGAGTAAAAATGAAATATGGAAGCAAGTCCACGTTTCAAGGTGACCTAATTACGCGTCTCGAATCAACTGACACCCGTGTAATCCAATGAGTGTTCGTTAACCGTGCCCTATATACATTACATTATTAATACATTTTCGTATAAACATATCTAAATAATCCAATGAATTTAAACTGGTATAAAAGTTAAATTTAGTTCTGCAGCACTTTAGCTATGGAACTACAACGACAATAAAAATTACTTCGAATACTAAAAGATTATAAAGCAAAGTACTTTAGCTATAAAAAATATTGCTTATAAAGTTAATGGGAATATAAAAAGTGTATTAGTAAAGAGAAATTGTTCGTGTGGCCAGTGGCCAGCGCAAACTGATTAATTCTCCGGCGCTGTGCGAACTCCAGAAATATTAGCTCCACGGATATGAGATTGCTAATTCCACTAATGCAGCGGACAAATATCGCAAGTTCCCCTTACTCCACACTTGCATTTCAACCATTTTGCCAAATCTATTTTACCAAGCAGTCGGAGAAAGCCAGATATATTCGGAAATTAAAAAGCAATCCGATTAATAGGTACCTACAGTTGTAACTCATTTTGTAGAATTAGCAATCATTGGAAGTGTCAAAGGTCTGTACAGCTATTGCTTTGATCCAACAAGAGCAGGCGTGTTACGCATCCCAACAAGCTGGTAAGCAAGGAATTTAATTTAAAAACTTCCACGTAACAGGCTTATATGTATGTACTTGTACGGCCCTGATTTTTGTTACGCACGAGAATTTCGTACATCGCTTACCTACTTTTACTTTTTACTAAACACGGATATAAAATTACGCAGACAGACGAATTGTTTTCGTAAGTATAATACACATCATGCGAACTTGCGTGTCACATTGAAACAGTCAAAATTTGATTATGATGTAATAATAGGAATAAAACATATGATTATTGCCCGTAATAAACGAGAAAACTTTTACAGCAACGATGTTGTTCAAGTTAGGAAACTATATAAAAGGCTTCAAAGGATGGTAGGAATTGAAACGTATTAAAGGGGCGGTGGTCCATTCAAAAGTTATTTGCAGTTTAAAGTTAAAAAACATCAGTCATACGTTAGCCACCCCTCACGCACAAGTGCAGTCTATTCATTTGCCGGATGGATTAATTTCCGCCGTGAGATCGTTCCAAAGGGAAATGCGATTGGAACAAAGTGTACGCGACTGGTGTATGGAGGGGCGGCTGATATGCCGTGTTATGTCCATTTTTCCTTTAATGGGTTAAAACAAATGGGCATTTTGTTATAGAATAAATGTTACACCTACACATAAACAAATTAGATTTGAAATTTCGTACAACGGCCGACTGATATTGGTTGGGCCTTATTATTTCTCCATACGATGGACGTGTTTCGGGTATTGTTCTGGCGGAGCGCGTCATAACAAGTTCCTCGCCTTATTTTCTGCGTCGGGCCTGTTGCCCACGAGGTTTAACTTTATTGCAATGCCGGCACACTGCCAAAGCTGTACTGGATGATTATTATGAGACTTCTTATTCTTCGAGGAAGGAAAGACATGTTTATTTTTCAAATTATTATTTTATGAACTTGGAATGTTTTGTTCTTGTACATTCTATTTAGATTTTCCGCATTCCTATTTTGTTTTATGTATGTTTATACGTCGTGCTCAGCACACAATTTCTATTCATTTTCCGAGTCACTTCGATTTTCTAAATTTATGTGCGCGAGTTTATGATGCATTTTACGATGGCCTCTCGGTCAAACACGCGACTCCTAAGGTTTATGGTACTCACGCAGACTTTATAACAGGCCTAAAATAAAGGTTATTACAGACAAAAACTCGGCATAAACAGTCATAATGATGAGCAGGATGGTATAATAAATTAAAGTATTTTATTTTCGCGCCACGAATTGATACATATTTCCATGCAGTTCCTCATCAGGGGAACATTAAACAAACCACTTTGTGTTATGGTAATTACTTGTGTAGAGTTTCTTTAATGGACTTAGTTACAAAAGTATTTACGCAAGGAACGTCTATTTGAATGGTGTAAACATAATTTGTGGACAAAGTTGTAGATGTAATGTGCTGCGTGACGATGTTGGCAACACAAGCGACCGGATTTAATTAAAACTGTCACATGTTGTTAATTTTTGTAAGGATTGAGAAAATTACACATTGAGACCATTATGATTAAAAGTTTAAAACAAACATTTGGTACGTGGGGATTTCTTGAGTTCCAGTTTAATATGTAAATAGGATTACACTTGATGACTACAAAATTAGGTGAATGTTTTTAAATACGAATGTTTTGTCACCCTCAATGTAAGCGCAGTCGTATTATTTTTTGCTTCAATTTCCAAAATCATACGGAACTCACCATTATTTTAAGATAGACCCATTTATACATGTCTACAGCAAGGATATCAGCGGAAACGCGTCGAGTCGAACTCCCCGAACAGTCTTACGTTAAAATTGAAGCGCTGTTGAATTTTAATAGTTATCATCCGTAACGTTGGTCCCGGGAGCTGCGTTGGACACGGTGTCTTTGCTAAAATCCGGCATACGCCGCTGATAGATGACATTTAGTGCAGACACAGTTGTTCCCCAGAGCACCTTTAGCTTCACGCCGTTGAACAAGTGCCAATGAGGACCAATCTCCGGGCAAATTTGCAAAAATAAGCTGAAATGGACTAGAAATGAGCTTTCGACCCTTTTTATTTTGATTATAATTATATTTTTTATTTTATAACAATTTCATATAAATTATCACACATTCTTATTTCAATATGTTACTTTAAAAAGTAGTGCTGCTTTCTCTGCTTTTCACTATAAGGTAATGACTTCTGGTACTTCATCATCATTCTGAAAAAGTATAAAATACTTGTTTATTATAATATTTATTTCATGTCAAGTGAAACAAGTGAATATATTTCTGCAAATACTTTTATCGCATCAATTTTAAAGCGAACGATGAGGTCGACATTTCCTAACTGAGTACTCTGAGAAGTAATGCCGAAACAAACTCTGGGAGAACATGCTGGAACATAAAAAATAACTGGAATATAAACTCAAATCCACTCTGAGAGACAAATACTGACTAAGAGACGATTTTTTAAATCTTTGAAGAATTGTCAAATATTCAAAGTTATTTCTCAGTTAAAATTTATTTGGCAAAATCGGCCCTTAGACAGGAAACTATCATCAGACCAAATATTCTAACATCTTATATGGTCTGAGGATCGGACCCAAAATCATTCGGTCATCTTATGCTTGTACTTTATGATTACTGAAATACAAAGAGACCGGACTTTGGTTTTATATCTAAAAAAGTCTATTCTCGAAAAAGAAGTCGTAAGTAAGGAACTAGCACGGAATGTAAGCCAGTGTCGTAAGTTTCTTTCATTTGTAAAGTTTTAAGAAGGCGATCCTAGTTGCAAAATACTGTTTCTTTATTCTTAGAAACTTACAGAGACAATTTACAGAAAAACTGGGGTATTCAAGTTTTAATTACGATTATTTGCAGGTTTTATTCACATACGGACAATGGACATATAACTAAGTTAACAAGAAACTTAGATAATTAAGTCAACAAACTTTTAATAGATTTCAATTCTAACAAGAATTTGGAAAATTTCACAATTACTTATTAGAACCCGATCTAAGAACTTAGGTGCAGTCAATCCAACCATTTACTATACAGATACGAAATAAAGAATATTTTTTAAATTATAATTCCGGGCAAGGGTTCTCGAGTTCATAGGATTCTGTTCTCGAGACGGGCAAAGAGTTACGGGATTAAAAAAAATCATAATAGTATTACAGAGTCTGGAATTGTGCCCGGTATATGGCAATAGGCTCACCCCCGATTACATGAGACTCAGAACAGAAATAGTGAAAACTGGGTGTTACATTGTGGCATTAAGAGCCGTGATATGCCCCTATGCCTATCCCTTCGGGGATAAAAGGTGCAATCTAATATTTTTAATTCTGTATTTACTTACTATTTGCAAACTATATTTTTAGCTGATCATCCTTACCATTTCACTTAGAGGCTGCATTCTTCTAGCTATATAAGTTGCCTGATTTTGAGGTCTGCTGTTTACCACTGCATTCCTATCGACTTGACTGTATATTCTGTTTGCAAACCGCATAGAGTTTGTATATTGTTTCAACATTGTAATACTTTCAGTGGTAGTTGGGATTATATGTGTCAGTTTATATTTGTCTTCGTAATAAGACACAAGTTTTAGCATGAGCACATCTCCAAGAACAGACTTTTGCGCGCTGAGAGCATTCTGTAATAAAATATATTATGACACTTGAAAAACACAATGCTTTACTTTTATTGACGATTCTTTTTATATTTGTCTTAATTTTCTATTATTTTATTTCTTTACTGCAAATTGGATATTTTCCTTAATTAAAAATAAATATTTTCGCCTGTTCAATTCAATAAAGTATTGAAAAATTTTAAAAAGAATAATAACTTATACTGTTTGACGCTTAACAACGTGACGCCACAATACACAATATCGCTCAAAATTCATAGAAAGCTGTCGTTTTTGACAGTTCGAAAAAGTATTGAATTTGACTTGTTGGCAAGTACCCAATTGGTCATGATATTTCGATGCATAATAGAAAATTTTAGCTGTGAACCCATTATTGAAGTGAGAAGACATAGCAAGTAATAAGTATGTAATACCCTACTTAATATAAACTCAAATCGGTATAAACAGTTTGTTGGCTCACCAGATGAGATACGATGTCACCATGATGTTAAGAAAAATGTATTGATAGTCGAGAAAAATAAAGGAATATCAAACATCAAGACAGATAAAATAATGTAATACTAACTTGACTTTTCCTGTAACTCTTGACTGGAACTGTCGTGTAATGAACGTGATCGATCCGTTTAGTGGCATCTGAAGATGGTTTAGGTCTATATATTAACGTTCCCAAATCCTTTAGAAAACTGTCGAATTCACCATCGAACTTCTCGGCATTGTCACTGACTGGGCTCTGTATCAATTAATTTTGTTTTATTTTCAGATTAAAAAATAATTAGGCAATTATTTATAAATCAACTCGCACTAGTACCTGTGTTGTGTACGCAACAAAATTAGACTTTAATATGCAAACGATAACAACGCTTATCAACTGTCCACGCAACGTCCTGTTCATGAAAACTATCGAACTGAACAACATGTAGCTCACTCCATAATCGCACAATGTTGATAAGGTAGTATTTGCTACTGCACCTTTACGATTCGCGTCAATATGTTTCCAATTTCTATTGTTCCGGATGTTAACGTTGTTTTATTGTAAGATGGAATTCCATCAATAGGTAGAGGAGCATGTGTACCGTGCGAGTACATGCAAGCGAAGTTAAGGCAGAATCTGAGCGTAGGTTTAATGGTTTCGCCTTGATCCTGAACGAGTCGGGAGCTCGCAGTTACACAGCTAGATTTATTAGTTCAATTACCCAGGCCCTGTTCGGAGCCGCTTCGCTTGCTTGAGCGCAGACGCCAACAACTAAATTTTGCTCAGGTTGCAACACATTCTGTGTTCACCTTTTTTGTCTCTTTGCAACGATTTTAATGTACAAAGCTAAATTAGGAAGGCTTTGTTGTTGCTGAATAGACTTGGCTTTTTTACAAGAATTTAGCTATTGTTGCCAATCTTTTTGGTGATCGTCTGTTGTTTTGATACTGTCGGTATCAGATGTTTACCGTGTGTTTTTTAAACATAGATTTGTATGTAGTTCAAATTAACTGTACCTAATGTGTGTTGATAAAGGAAAAATAACTTTGTAGCGGCACCATAGTTTAGAGAACAATGTTGATAAATGTTGTATCGTGAGAACGAAAACTATGTCGCACTGGTTGTTTACTAATGACATTAATGGTTTTTATACATGTTAGTAGACTTTTTACAAATGTTAACAGTATTATGTAATATACTATAAATTACTGGGAAAATAATAATACCATGATAAGTCTTATAAACCCAAGAATTCTATGAATTACATGTTTTATGTCCCAACTTATATTGTTTATACCCATCTGTTTTGAACAAATTGTGAAAATAAGTACTCTATTAAATAAGGATAAAAACGTATTAAAATAAATTGAAAATGTCGTATGAGCTTTACTTGAAGAGCATTAGCGGTGTCTATTTTACATTTCGAGGTCATGAAAATGGGTAAGGAGTCAGATAAATTCCATTTTGTTTTCATGGAACGACAATTCACAAAATAGCTTAGATTACCAAATACCAAGGAATATGTAATTGAGACTTTATTTATTCCTGTAGTTTAATATTATAACATCACGCGTTTTATCCCCGAAGAGATAACCAGAGGTGCACATTATGCCACTGTACAATATAACACCCACTTTTCACTATTTATGTTATGAGTCCCATGTAATAGGGGGTGTGCCTATTGTCATATACCGGACACAATTCCAGACTCCGTGCTACTACTGAGATTTTTTTTAAACCCAGTATTACTTTGTCCGACCCGGATATCGAACTCGTCTAAGGGGTCTCCCCCTTATCCGGCATTAGCACTTGCGACCACTAGGCCAATGACGCAGTTATGTTGTTTAATTGATTCCCAAATACTTCCAAGAATGAAATTCTTTATTATTTGCGGACTTTTTTTGAAATTAAGTTGTGGAAGTAGTTTCAGCTGAATGTCAGTATTTTACGAGAGGCGACACCTCCCCTTACAACGCAAAAAGCTGATACGACACTCTTTTTCAGACTTTTGGACTACTTACTAGCCGTAAATTTTATAGGACGTGACATTCTTGTGTTAAAAGGAAGTTGTTATGTTGTATAAGCCAGCAGTGACCAGGGACTGACTGGTTTTAAGAATAGGTAATAAAAAAATAATTATGTTTTTGCTTGGAGCGACTTAGCAATTGCAAGTCGTTTTTCGATTTTCCGTGTCTTTTGATGGTTTTATATACATACATAATACCACACCTTTTATCCCTGAGGGTAGGCAGAGGTACACATTACGGCACTTAACCCGTCGAGCGTCCGCGTTCATTATGATCCAACGGGTGCACACGTGACATTTAGAGCATTTTTCTTATGATCCACCGGGTGCTCATAAGGACGCTCGAGGGGTTAATGCCACTGTACAATGTAGCACCCACTTTTCACTATTTATGTTATGAGTCCCATGTAATAGGTGGTGAACCTATTGCGATATACCGGGCACATTTTCATACTCCGTGCTGCTACTGACGTTTTTTTAAAAACCCAGTAGTAGTTTGCCCGACACAGGAATCGAACCCGAGATCCCTAGTCTGGCAGTCGCACTTGCGACCACTCGGCCAACGACGCAAGTATGTTTATACAATACAATACATAATATTGCTTAGAATACTAAGCCTTTAAGAGTCACACATAGGTACTTTTCTCTTACTTCAGCAAGATTACATGTTTTACAATGCAGAACAGGTATATACCTAGAAATTTTCTTTTATGTAGGTATTACATAATGGCTAACTACAAATTTTATTACAAAATTGATTAAGTATACAACATAATCGACTGCAGCGTTAATATAGAAGTATAAAATCTTGAAAGTACAATAACAATATCGTTACGTGATTTTGATTTTTATTGCTATTTGTAATTAAGTACAATGTTGTGCAGCTGAGCGGAGCGGTGCGGAGAGGAGCGGGTTGCGACCACAAACACCCCCTGTCGATACAACTTGGCCAACTTTCAAATTTGTGGGTTGGCGCTTTCAGTGCTCGCTTATATGCACTCAGCTTTACATACGAAATTGTTAAGAGATTGCAGAAGTCCGAACGTGTCCAGGAACTTGTATTTCTAACGCAAATGCCTTGAACGTACATTGCCTTAATTTTACTTAATCGATTACTGGCACTTATTTTCAAATATTTCTATTGCTTTTCTCCGTTTTAAAATCGTTTCCCTTGGAATGCAATCCAAATTATTTGTATATTCAAAATTAACCAGAAATATTTTCAACCGACTTCAACAAAAGGAGGAGGTTCTTAATTCAACCATATATATGCTTTTTTTTAAGTTTAGAAAAGGTTTAAAATTCGAAAAAAAAACATAAAGAAATTACAAGGAAATCACTAACGTCGTCAATTTTTACTACTATGTATTGTTAGTGCCATATTATGTGGCGCCTTGCAAGATTCGGAGTTGGCCGGGTCTGCTAATTATTGTAAAATAAAAACAAATGACACGTTAATGATGTCACGCCGAAAATGACTAGGGCAGCAACATATAGTTATCTCTTTCTAAATCCAAATTATTGCCGCCTTCAGAACAATGCAAAAAGAAAAACAAATATAGGATAGGCACAAATCGTGTTCTTTTTTTAAATCCAAAATTATTGCCGCCCTTTGAATACAATCATACGTCATGCAGCATGAAGTCTGACATCCAAAACATACCTACTTTTAAATATATACGAGTTATCAGTAGGTATGTTGGTACGCGCATAACTTCAATTTTAAGGACGTCGTATTCGTTATTTTCAGGTCGATATTTGTTTCCAGAAATATTAGGTGGGGTGAGCTGCTAGTATAATAAATCTATTACCAAACAAAATGAAGATTGTTTGTCAAATAGGGCCATTGTATATGCGTAATAACCTCGATACATGGTACCTGTTTAACATTTTTAAAAGGCGATTAATTCAATTGTTGACGGCAATTAAGTAGTACCTTATTTATAACCAGCATACACGACTACGATCGCGTGTTATAAGTGAATATAAAACGATTACATTGTTCTATTAATTTTCTGACATACCTACAGTATTCTTTACCTAATTCAGAATGAAAATACACCTTAATACTAATTACAAGTTAGACAACTTTATCCAATTTAATTTTTATAATGGCGCTATAATGAGTTCCACAGAAATACCAAAGTTATTAAGGCAGGTAGGTAATATTCAACCACTTAGCCGGTAAAGTTCAGAGTAAAAATCATTTTACATAATTCGTCGCTATTGCAAGAGAAAAAGATTTCAAGAACAATCAACTTCGTTACAACTTTAATTTTTTCCGCTATAATAGTTGCCTCAAGTAATTTTCTGTGAAAAAACCTTTAATGAAAACTTTAAAAATTCAAAGGCAGCTTCTTCATTATGAGAGGAAAATTAATCTAGAAGATTTTTATCATGTCTGCCGGGCACGATACACCAAAGATACCGAATAGCAGGTAAATTCAAGGTGGCATTAACACCTTCTATGAAATGAGGACTTAAGTAAAAGTTAAGATTTTCTATGTTGTTTTTAATTAGTTGTACTAGTTTGATTCTAGTTTCAGTTGCTTTAAATACCTCGAAACACGTAACAAGTTCCACCACACAGATCAGAAACTGCGTATATGCTCCAAACAGCTCGCAGCAAAGTTAATAGAGCTGTGCTATCCCACTGTCATTGTTGTCAGTGTTCGTCGGCAAAGTTTTACAACCAACAACCACCAACTCCGCGTCTGCAATTAAAACAACAATATTACGTGAGACTAAAACTGCTCGCTAAAAACATAATCCAAGTCGCTTTAGTGGCACTTACCACGACGCACGTACCCAAGGAAACATCAATAAACTTTAAAGTTTATACATTTCGTAACAACAAATAAAATATCTTATTCTCGAGACTCTCTCCAGTCGTGTGAAATCAATTTGTTGCCAGCTTAAATAAACTTATACGACTTGCACATGAAACTCTACGTAGGTGTCACTAGAATGCATGAAAAATTTCCCATAATTGCCTAATAAAACCTCAAGATAAGTTGCTTCACTGGATTAAGTAAGAAAAGAGCCAGCGATTTATTGACGCAGTGAATTATTTGCTCATATGTAAGTAGAAAGAGGTTTGCTGGCAATAATCGTATTTTCTACTTTAGCGGACAAAATATGTATAAAGGTGGTCACTAAACAATTCAGGTCAGCGACTCGTTATATTGATGGAACGGGTCCGAATGTGAGATAGTGTTCGCGGGCTGTGCCACCCGATAGCCGGCCGCGCTCATGAATATTGTAGCAGCACGCGCGTCCGCTGGATCCTCCAGATTCCGAGCCTGTATCAGGAGCTTTATATACCTACACCTTTACATTGTTTCCATGCAATCCCTAAATATAAGTACGGACCGCACCGGCCTCCGCACTTCATCGCTTTTTGTTTACGCAAAAAAGT